TGTGGTGATATTGATACAATACGTATTGTGAAAAATCGTGCTGGAAAGTCAAAAGGGTATGCTTATTTGCAGTTTAAATCCAAATTATCTGTTGATTCTTCCTTATTACTTGACCGTGAGTCAATACTTGGCAGACCAATGTTTGTTTCAAGATGTGTAGATAAACAAAACAATCCAACAAAATTTAAGGTTTTTATTTAATAATTTTTATGTATCATTTTGAATTTTCCAATTTAAATTATTATTTATACTGTTTATTGTATTTTTACTCAAATTAATAAAATTTAGTTTCCAACGCAACTTGATAAGCATACCTTATATGTATCAAATCTTCCATTTGAAATGACTGCAGATCAAGTTACAGAGCACTTCTCAAAAGTATTTATATTTTTTTTGCCTGATTTAAACTTTTCACAAGAACTAGTTTGATATTCTCTAACAATTTTGTACATGTTTTTTTGTTGTTGTTGCCAATGAATAACAATATTAAAGTTTTTGGTTTGCAACTAAGTTCTTTTTTTATTTACATAATTAAAACTAGCAACTGTTTAAGCAATAATTTAATAACAGCTAACAAGCATGCAGAACCCATACTCCACTCTTTTAAATATAGAGAGAAAATGCTTCCCTATAGCAGTGTGAGAGTATCCCATTTTCTGTGTCAGTTCTCTTGTCGTTTGGAGTGAATTTTCATGCAAAAGTTGGGTTTTAGAGAATATTCAGCAAAATTGACATTTGACGCTTCACTAGTTTAACATATCCTTAAACTTATTGAGATATATCTCAATATATAATATCTACTGGAGATTATTTATACTTTAATTTAAAAATGTTTAAAATTTTTTTTTTTTTTTAAAGATAGGAAAATTGAAACAGGTCCGGCTTGTTACTAATCGTTCAGGAAAATCTAAAGGTTATGCTTATGTTGAATATGAATCAGAAGTGAGTTTTTTTTTTTAATATATTTTGAATATGATTGATTTGAATAGTTAACTGATTTGTGAGTATGTCAGATCAAAAATGTAAAATAGTTTTTTTTTTTCATTTACTATTTAAATGCTTTTTTTTTTTTTTAAATATTCTTAGATTTTAACTATTTGCATTATATTATATTCTAATACATCCCTATTTTTTTAAATAACTTATTTACATATCATGCATGCATGCACAAACATCTACGCCCATAAAATGCAAACACCTTAAGTCTTAGTTATCCAGTCTAAATTTGGTATTTTAATGTGTTATTTAGACTTAATGGGTTTAGTAAACTCTAGACCCAAAACGTTTTCAAATTAATTTTAAGCTAAACTCAACTAAATCTAAGAAATTTTAATATTAAAAAATTAAAATATCAGTTCAGGTGGTCCATCAAATTTTCTAAAAAAAATGAAACATTAAAAATATTGTTATTGTATTTAGTTTTGTATTTAGGTTGGTATTGTTCTTATTTTCAAACAAAATTTTTTTTTTTTTCTTTTTTTTTCTTTGATGAAAAAAATGAATTTTTTTTTTTTGCTGTTAAAGAAAGCTTTTTATATTAAACTTCATTAAACTTGTTGAAAATTCTAGATGATGTGAAAAAGCTGACTAAAAAAGACCGCATCTCCCACATATGGCTATTTAAGTATGATGTCATTTATGAGGTTTCTTGCAAGGTTAAATATGATTAAAAATTCCCTTAAATACTGTTAAGAGAATTTAAAAAATTTTGTTTACTCTCTTAAATTTTTAAAATTTTAAAAATTCTTTAAATTAAAAGATCAAAATCAAATTTGTTAAATTTATTGCTTAGAATACACATTTATTATGTATTTGTTAAATTTATTGCTTAGAATACACATTTATTATGTATTTGTTAAATTTATTACTTAGAATACAAATTTATTATGTATTAAGCAATATAAATTGGTATAAGACAAAATAGCATATCAGTAGATACGAGTATTATGGTTCTATCTCCAAATTTTCATGGTAAAAAAATTTAAATTTCTGTTTTTAATTATAATTTTATTTTTTTATGTGTTTGAAATGTGTTTTATAGTGTATTATATATATAATAACTTATTAAAATATTAATCTATAAAATAATTAAATTATAAATAACTTAAATAATATATTAATCTTTTTATTATTATTTGTATAACTTTAAAAGTTGTTAGTTTTTTCACTGTCAATTTCAACCTTATTTAATAGAGCTGAAGTTAACAATTAATTTTTAGTCAAGCAATTTTAATAATTATGAAATAAATAATGTAAGACTAATTATAAAACATAAATAACATAAAAAACTTATATTTTATCAATATAAACAATAACAACTGTAAAATATTTAAATAATTAAAATTCAAAAGTTAGATCACAATGCTAAAAATCTCACAATGCTAAAAATGGAAGATAAAACCATATTATTCTAACGTCACGATATACGTGTGTATATATAATATATCATATTAAGCAAAGCTATATGACATCATACTAAAATAGGTAGCTATCGAACTTCAGTTTATAGGTCAACTGACTATCTAGGTAGTGTCTCAAGGGCAAGGGAGTCACAGTTGTCCAAAATGAAATCCTATTCTCTTTGGAAATGACCCAAAAAATCCCTTGGAGGGGTGATTCTATAGGTAATAGGGATCACCTTAAAGAAAAAGTTAAAATCTTTTAATTACCTCTGCAGTAAAAAATTGCATTTAAAGTTTCCGCCTAAATACACCAAAAACCTTTATTTTCAAAAAGTGTTTGCACAGCCAAAAGTTCAAAAAAAGACTCCAAGAAAAAGGTGAAGTTCCATTTTAAGATTTACGTCGAGAATAAGGTCAGATTGCCTGTAAGAGTTATTTAATCGAGGATATACAACATTTGCATAATTCTTTGCCAATTGAAGTTTGCACCTGAAGAGAGGAATCCAGCATAGTTGTTGCATAAAGAACTAAATGTTCTTGATTGGCCAGAGTTTGTAAGGGTGTTAAACTCAACATCACACCAGCAACATGGGTGTTTGCTAGAGTGAGACTGGATACCACATGAAATGTTGGCTACTTTCATGTCACACAAAATTATGTAAGGCACATCTAATATTGTCTAAGATTTGCAGTGAACAACTTTTCAAACTTGGTTTTTCATTCCTTTGTCTAGAATTATAACATTTGACATAAAAAAAATCAAAAGAGGTTGTCAAGTTTTCGCTTCACGTTTGCCTCTACAGCTCTTTTTTCCATTGTATTATTTAGAGCTGATGCAAGCCTTTTCACACAAACATTGGAAAAATTTGTACTGTTTTGAACCAATGTTTCAGCAGTAAATAGTTGCAACAACAGTATCAAGTCGTTGTAGTTTGCTTCTACATGAATTGCAAATGCCAGTTGGAATTTTCTCATCATTGTAATTAACATTACACTTAAAAATATTCTTGACTCTTTCAATCAATAAATCAGTTTATATCACTTTCCTTCAAACATAACAAGCAAACAGATTTTCTGCTATCACCACAAGTTTTTGCGGAATAGGGCATTTTTTGACAAAGACAAATTAATTTTTAACAGAATTACTAATTTATTTGTTTACATTTTTGAGCGACAAAAATTAGGCGTCAACATATTTCAATTTTATTGCTTTAAATTTGAATTTTTAATAAAGAAGGAAAAAAAGAAAAACAATAAGTTAATACAATGTTGTTTAGAGATATTTGCAACATTTAAGATAAAACAAAAGGTTTTTTTAGTGACTTTTAGCAGTGGAAACGCATTTTGAAAATTAAGTTTCTTAATGCAATTTAGGCAAAAACTTAAAATGCAATTTTTTTCCTGCGCACGTAATTAAAGGATTTTAATTTTTGTTCTGAAATGATCACCATAACCTATAGAATCATCCCTCCAAGGGATTTTTTGGGTCATTTCCAAAGAGATTAAGACCCCTTTTTGGACAACTGTGGAGTATCTCAGTAATATATATGTGAGTTTATACACACATATATCACTGAGTCAGTTAGTCATCGAGTTTTACTGGGCAAATTGAAAAAAAAATTATCATATTGGCCTGGGCATTTACATTTGTAAGAATTCATCCATTTGTCGGGAAACTAGGTTTGAATCCACACCCTACTCTTTTATCTGCTTTCTTTTAGCACCACTTCACTCTATCGCCTTTCTCTTTGTTCTATATCGCTCTTCTTCATCTCAAGACTGCACTCTTCTTGATGTTAATTCTGATCATGCTGACCAAGCTCTCTCTCTTTATCTATCAGTCAATATTGTTCTCGCTTTTCAGACAACCCCAATCAATTACCTTCACTACTCAACTTATGTCTTGTTTCTGATCCTAGTCATTGCTCAGTTTCTCCACATTCACCCTTAGGTACTTCTGATCACAGGTTGATCTCTCTAAAACTATTATCTCATTCTTTTTCATCATCTGAATCCCCATATCATCGTACATCTCACAACTATCTCACAACTATCTTAAAGCTGGCTGGGACTTTTTCCGTGATTTTCTTCGTGATGGCCTTTGGGTAGAAATCTTTTGTCTTCCTGTTGACAAATGTGTTTCTTACATAACTTCGTGGATTCAGGCTGGCATGGAATCCTTTATTCCCTCTCGACAATTCCAGGTCAAGCCTCACTCTTCTCCATGGTTTTCCTTATATTGTGCTGCTGCAATTACCAATCGAAACCGTTATTTCCATATCTATCAGCAAACCAATTCTCCAGAAAACAGACGCCTGCTTATTACTGCTAGAAACCATTGTAAAAAGGTTTTGTCTAACGCCAAAGCCCGCTATTCTCAGGTCAGGAAATCTCGCATTTTAACACAAAAATTAGGCTTTCGTGATTTCTGGAGAATCTTTAATAGTATAGCATTTTATTAACAAACACTTAATCTCTCATCTTAAAACTAAAAACTTACTTTCTGATCATCAATAAGGATTTCGATCTTTTAATTCTACGACTGATTTGCTAGCAGTAATAACCGATAGGTTTAATCGTACATTGGATTGAGGTGGAGATTAAAGCTATTTTGTTTTTTACATTTCTAAAGCTTTTGATAAAATTTGGCATGCTGGTCTTCTCCATAAGCTTTCTTCTTACGGTGTATCTGGAAACATCTTTGAGATTTTAAATCCTTCCTTTCTAATCGTAGTATAAAAGTTGTCCTCGATGGACAGCACTCTTCTTCTTATTCTGTAACCTCAGGGGTTTCTTAAGTTTTAATCCTTGGCCTTATACTCTTTTTAATTTACATTAACGATATTCCAGATATTCTCACATCTAAGGTGGCATTGTTTGCTGATAATACTACCATTTATTCTTGTCATGATAAGAAGAACACTCTCTGATTGCTTGGAGGGGGTATTTGAGCTTGAAAAGGATCTCACTTCTGCTACAGCATGGGGCTCACTTTAATTCAGATAAAACTCATTTTTTTTCAGCCAATTGTTATTGCAATAATTTAGACCTTCCTATATTTATGAACGGTAATGTACTCGATGAGCCATCTACCCTTTATCTTCTAGGATTAACTCTTACTTCCGATCTTTACTGGAAACCATATATCAAATCCGTTGTAAAATTAGCATCTGCTAAGTTTGCATCTCTCTATCGAGCTCGCCACTTTTTTACTCCGGATTCTATTCTCTATCTCTATAAATCTCAAATCCAGCCTTGTATGGAATACTGTTGCCATATATGGGGTTGATCTTCTAATGATGCCCTTTCTCTTTTATACAAGGTGCAAAAACACCTTGTAAACATAGTTAGACCTGTTTTTGCAGCCAACCTCCAACCATTATCACATCGTCGTAATGTTGCTTCTTTCTCTCTTTTCTACAAATACTATAATGAGCTAGCGTCTCTTGTGCATTCTACTAAAATTGATCCTCATGTTACTCTTCATTCAATTAAGTCTTATCCTTTTTCTGTGACTGTTCCTAAGTGCTTTAAAAACTTTTATTCCTCTAGTTTTTTTCCTCGATCATCAGCTCTTTAGAATTCGCTTCCTTTATCTTGCTTTCCTGATTCATATAATTTGCAATCTTTTAAGTCGTCTGTCAGTCGTTATCTTGCTCTACAATCTTCATCTTTTCTCATCCTGTAACTTCCAACTCTAATTAGTGGTTGCTTGCAGCCTTGTTGGAAGCGAAGATGTTTAAAAAAATATATATTAAGTTTTAATATTTTGCGCAAAACAAATGATTGTTTTGGTAAATATTTTGTTTTGTTCAATTTCATATGCCATTTGTCAAAATAAATATGGTGTATTACTCATCCTTCAAATAAAGTTTGTTTTTGGATTGCATTTTCATTAAGTTGACATTATTTGCCTTTTAAATCATATAAAAAAATTATTAAGTAATTTTAGTGATTTTCCGATTACCATTTTGTAATTAAGTTTTGAAAATTGGTACTGAATTTTTTGTCTTCTAGTTTACCGACATTTTTGCTATGCCGGTATAAATGTGGTATTAATTTTTGTATAATTGATTTATTGTAGATTTTTTTTTTTAGGCAGATGCACAATCTGCAATTGTAAAGTTAGATCAAGTTCCTTTAAATGATCGACCAATAAATGTGTCTTTGTCGAATCCTCCAGCTCGTAAGATTACCGTAGCTCATGAAGACAAACAAAAAGTTCGTAGTAACGAGCCTGGAATGTAAGTAGAGTTTATTTAAATACTTTTGTTAATAATATTATAATTAACAAATGTACTGCATATTTAGACGTGGCCGATCCAAAACACAAATCAGTATGGTCCCACGTTCGTTGCAAAAAAATATACCGAATGATTCTTCAATTAATTCATCTCTTTGTGAAAAGCAGGAGGCAGTTTCAAAAGATAAAGGACCTTCTACTGCAATGAGTAACGAAGAGTTCCGTAAATTTCTTTTAAAGCATTAAAGAATTAAATCAAGATAAAAGACTTATCGATTCTTGACCTAAAAAGACAATCATTCTTTCAACAATGAAAAAGCTGTTATAATGATTTGTTATATACGATATTATATTTGTTATATATATATATATTATATTTGTTATATATATATATATATTATATATATATATATATATATATATATATATATATATATATATATATATATATATATATATATATATATATATATATATATATATATATATATATATAATATGCAACTACTATTAACATGTTATTCAGTACAACCCGACCCATGTTCTTATTTTTAAAGAAAAGACTAGGAAAATTTAATTCTACCTTACAATATCCCTGCTTTAGGGTCTCGATTGATTAAATGCTAGAATTGTTGACTATATAAAAAAGTCGTGGTAGATGTTAACTACACCTGGCTACTGCCAGTTGACCAGCCGCGCTTTTTTTCTCTCTAGAATAATGTTGTTAGTTGCTATGCAACTTTTCCTATTATCTCCTAATAAGAAATCCACTTTAAAACCTAATGGTTTTAAAGATTTGAATCATAGAAATCATTCTTTTATAACTAGAATTAAAATCGCCTTCGAAAGCCAGCATTCCTCTCCATTTCCAATAACTGGAAATACAGCAGGTTTTTATAGTACGACAAGTTTTCATCTTTGAACCTGTAATGCTTCTCATTTAGGTTGTAGGCTTATACGAAATTGACAACCCAAAACATAAAAGAATTTTTATGTAAACTTTTATCCTTATTCTACTAATATATATCTCTTTTAGCTTGAATCAAACTATAATTGGTTCTTTTTCATAAATAATATAGATTTACGGTGTTTTCAAGCATATACTTATAGTAATTAAAATATTGATCTTTAAATTTTGACTTTTCATATTTTGTGATTTTTAATGTCTTTTTTTTAATTTCAAAGTATAATATATTCAGTGTATAGCAATTAAGCTAAAATTTTCAGTGATGTTCATACACGCACTTTGTCATACAATTCATTTGTCAAAAGATATTTTAAATGTATTTTTGGGGGTCCTTCAATAACATTTTAACGGGCGATTACTAAGTTTTAGCTCTTTTTTTTTATTATAAGCTGTCAATTAAGTCTATTATATAAAAAATAATAAATTATTAATGAGAGTCCAGATCTCCTTATTTTATCATGTCCTTTTCCAGACTGATAATGCATGGCTTTGTACAAACTTCAAGTCTTTATATAGCCAAGGCATCTATCTTTTTTTTTAAACTCAACAAGATTTTTTGCTTATAAGTTGTTCTTGTAAACCTCCATTTTCAAATCTCTTTAAAGATCTTCTATCGTACGAGCTGGATTCATGTATTTTGGTGCGAAGGTATATCCTGGTCTTCCAAAAATTTAGTTACTTTAGAAGCATAATGAGCGGACACTTAATCGAGCTAAAACTCAAAACCACCAGCACTATATTTTTTTTAATAAATGGAAGTTTGTTCTTTAGAATTTCACAATAAACATCTTTGTTAATTGCGTTTCCAGATTTTTGAAAATATTTATTTTTTCAAAAATCTGTACAAGTGGGGAGAGGGTGTTAAAGAGTTGTGACTATCTTGGCTAAACTTGATTTTTTTTTTTTTTTTATATATTGAATTTCACGTGTCAAACTGAAGTCAGAAAAACAAACAAATCAGAATTGTGTTTTTTTTTCTGACTCCAATAACAAATTTTTTCTATTATTTATTAATAAATGATGAGGAGAGAAAAAAAAAATCGACTGAATTTTGAAAAAAATAAGAGGGGATCTTCGAAAGCGTACAGGTTTGTACAAGGGAAAGGGGTTAAATTAGTGGTTTTACTGCGTACGTACTTTATGAATGCCCGCTTACCAGATGTCTTTTTCAAGTTGTCGGTGTAAAAAGTATCATTGCCTAGCTCAATGTTCATCATCAATTAAAAAAGCACGATATCCATAATGCTGTAAAATTTGTCTGCATATCGATTGAGTTTTCATATTAGATCGCTAGTTTTTTTTTGTTGTTAACAACTTGTTAACATACGGTTGAGAGCATCTAAATTCTCTAGCGACTACTCCTTGAGAACGTCCTGATCTATGATTTAGGCAGCCGTGGCGCAGTGGTAGCGCACTTGCCTCAGAAACAATGGATCCGTGTTTCAAATCCCACCTCTGGGCAAGTTTTGCAACATCGGTTAGGAAGGAGGCGTGAACTTTCAATTAAATGCTCATCCGCGGTGCTCTGTGATAAGATCGTAAGGACTTCTTGGGGCACCTAAATGTAAAAAAAAAAAAATGATTGAACATATTGTTTAGTTTCCTAATGTTTCTTTTTGTTGCTATTTTTACTTGACGACCATTGGCAGTTTTTCTTTTTAATGTAACAGTTTTTTTTACTTGCTTGATCCAACGATATATATTACGTTTTAAGGCCTAATACAATATATTTTTTATAGTCTCGTACTTTGCCATTTCCTTTAATTTAAGATAAAAGAAGTGAAAATACTTTTATTATTATGATTATTTTTGTTATTAGAATTATGCAAATATAGCTAAGTGTAGAATTAAACAAAATGCGTAGCCCGTGTTCTATAATACATTAATTTTTTTTTTTTTTTTTCAGTTTACATTATTTCTATGTCGTGATTTCCATGTAATATAAACATATAAACTTGGAATCTGGAAGAAGATCATATCGATCTTGTCGCCAGAACCATATAAAAATTACAATATAAATATAATATAATATAATACAGGTAGTTTATAACAAAATAAGAATTCAAAACATTTGAAATAAGAAATGGTTAAAATAATATCTCAAAAATATTTCAACATAATATCCGTAGAAAAAATAATATTCTTTAACTTGTTTTTAAAAACAGAAAAAGAGATAGATGAATCTAAATTAGGCTGTACAATTTTATTCCAGATATAAGGTGCTCCATAATCTATACAAAATTGATTAAACTTTGTTTGACAAAAGAGTTCTTTTATATAGTTATTATTTCGCAAACTATATTTATTCTTTACTTTAAAGGTAAATAGACCTTTAAAACCATGAAATAAGGGGTTATTTATACAACAAAACGTAAAACAAAAAATGTTGTACAAGTTAAGTTCATAAACGTTTAATACATTCATATCTTTAAATAGAGGTTTTGTATTTGAAAAACAATTTAAAAAATATATTATTTGCATTCCATGTTTCTGATGGCGGTAAAGACGTTGCAACTTACTTTTACCTGTACTTCCCCAGGCAATACTTACATAGTTTATATAGCTATGAATAAATGAGTAGTATAGTTGTTTTAAATTATTTTTATTTAGATAATTTCTGGCCTTATAGAGGATACCAAAACATTTTTCGCAACTTTTGTTAATATATAATCAATATGAGCTTTCCATGTCATATTTTCGTCAAGATAAATACCTAGGAATTTTAAAACGGAATCTTTTTTTATTTCTCCTTCGTCAATATAAAGTTTAGGTAAATCATAAGGCAAAAAGCGTTTTTTTGTTGAGGAGTGGAAAAGGAACCACTTTGTTTTGTCAATATTTAAGGTTAATTTATTGCATTTAAACCAGTTAGAAACTTGATTAAGTTCTTTATTCATATCTAAAAAAATTTTGTTAATGTCTTTGTTTGATAAAAATAAATTGGTATTGTCGGCAAACATGATGCTTATAAGATTCGAGGCCTTAATTAGGTTGTTGACGTATACTAAAAAGAGAAGTGGGCCAAGGATAGAACCCTGTGGAACACCACATTTTATTTCAATTATTATTATTATTATTATTATATATATATATTTCGTCAATAAACAATCATTTTACAATGTTTTTTGTAAAAATTAAATATTTATATTCTGACAGGAGCAAGCAGAAGACAATGTGTCTTATCACCCTGCTCCTAAGTTCGTGAAAATATCAATAAAGTTTTACGTATTAACTTCTTAAAATATACGTTGTATAAGTTTTATAAATATTGCAAGTTTTGTGCATAATACAACACATCACAGTTCACAAAATATACATAGGCCACAAGCATATATACGTGTTAACAAATTAATATATAAATGTTTTTTTTAAAAATGCAAAAGAATGTTTTTATTATTTAAATCTAATAAGTATAGTTTAACGGCTCTTTTAAATAGTTTAATTGAAGTCATGTTTTTCATGTCTCTATTCAGGAAATAGTTCCACAAACGTGGTCCTCGACATGTTATTGAGAAGTCTGTTTTTCTAAGGGATGTTGTAGGTATGAGAAAATTGCTAATGGAATATCTTGTAGAGTATTTGTGATTAATTAAGGTGAAGTGAGGCTGAAAATATGTTGGAAGCATGCTGTTATAAATTTTAAACATAAATAACAGATTTTGATAGATGTTTAGTTTATAAATATTTAAAACATTAATTTTTTTAAGTAAAGGCTCGGCGCATGCATATCTACCTGCATTCAAAATTAACCGGCTCGCTTGTTTTTGTTTGGTATTAATTTTTTTTAAAGAGGATGAATAATTACTTGCCCACGCTATATTGCAATAACTAATGTGACTATGAATAAATGAAAAATACAAGCTTTTTAAGCACATTATATTCAAAAGGTGCTTCGTTTTGAAAAGGATCCCAAGAGCTTTTGAAATGTTGTTTTCCACAAATTGGATATGATTTTTCCAGTTTAAATGATCGTCAAATATTATACCTAGGATTTTCATTGAATGAACTCTTTTTACTTTAATGTTGTTTATAAATAAATCAGGAAGTTTCAGGGGTATGTTATCAGTTTTCGAAGGTTTTGTGAACAGAATGTATTTAGTTTTATCAATGTTTACGAACAGTTTATTGGCTTTAAACCATTCATTGAGATTAATTAGCTCTGTGTTTACAGTAGAAAAAACAAATTTTAAATTAGACCCCGAAAAGAAAATATTAGTATCATCAGCAAAAAGAACAAAATTAAGGAATTTAGAGGATAAGTGGATGTCATTAATATATAAGAGAAACAACAGAGGACCAAGTATTGAGCCCTGAGGGACACCACAACTAATAACTTCTAACTGCGTGTAAGTTAAATCATACGTCACACATTGTTTACGATTTTGTAAATAAGACTCG